GTAAAATAAAAAATCACGAATATTATTTGTAAAATTTATATTAAAAGTAGTCAATATAATCTACAATTATTTTATATGATATAACATTAAATATATGTCTGTTTTTTCTCTCTGCGCTATCTGTTGTTGTCACTTGAGTGACGTAACACTACTGACAAAATTTTTTGGAGCATTTGAACTACTGAGTTATTTCATCGTCAATTTATGACGTCACAATAACTTTAGCCCGTTTCGCGTGGTTCATCTTCATTTTCCAATAATTTATTCCATTATTTCATCACTGAATGAGGTGTTCGTAACACTTAAGCATTTTTAACGCTTTTCTCCGTATTATTTTCTTTTTGCTTTTATGTGTATACCCTATTTCCTATTATTTTCATAATTTTTCTAGATAATCCCCTTAGTCCTTACCACAAAATAACTTTTATAATTTTTATAATTTGGCGTGAATATCGCGCTTAATAGTTTATCTTATCATTTACAGAAATTTGTATCTAGTTTTATAAACAATCAGACGGAGAGTAATGATAAAATTAGAGAAAATGTTGTACTAGCGAATGCAGTGGAAAGTATTCAATATTATAGATAATTATATATTTGGCACATCAAAAATATACGATTTATATAATAAATTGTACGAAAATAAATAAGTAAATAGTGTGAATTAGATAGATAAGTCCGTTCACTTAGAGAAAGGTACAGCGTGAGCGAACGGCAATGGCCAATCCTCTACCGTCAGGTGTATCCAATCGTAAGTCTTTTACTCCGAAAATGACTTCTAACAGTTACCGCCATTAAGGTAGTCCGCGCACATTTATTTGTCATCGTGTACCTTTCTCTAAGTGAACGGACTTACTGTAATCCTTTTTTTTTTGTGTAATGTTTTCGTGCATTGACGAATTTTATCATTGCATATGTACTATGCACTCATTAAAATATATTTAGACTTAACCACCGAAATATAGATCGACTGAGTTACATCATTTCAATTTTTAATATATGATTTCGGTACCAATGCTGATTAATTACTTAGTGATAAGTAATTGTGGGGTGATGAGTTAATAATAGGGGCGGTAATTCATTACAACTTACTTATTTTCAATTAATAGCTGCAGCTGCAAAACCAGCTCTCTTGCCAGTTTTAAAATAGCTTGTGCGTTGTGTCTTTCTGCCATTTCTGAAACGAAAATTTAAAAATAATATGGGATCCCTTTTATCGAGGTAGATATCTGAATGCATGCCTTATTGTTTCAAAAGAGTAGATAGTAAAAAGGGACACTAGGTGTTTAATTCTCTTTGCAAAATTCTGAGCCATATTTTTCAACTAAGTTTTTTAATGATAGATTGAGTAATTAGCAGTTATTATGTTAACTTTGCTTACTACATCAATCCCTCTCTATGTCCGTTATTTATTCCCTCTTTCGTTCATCTAAATCCTTATTTTGGTCACATCCCCTCAGCACATGCAATAATGTTTCATCACCTCTTTCACATATTCTGCATCTCCCTTGTTCCCTCTTTATGCTATAGTTGCACAGTCTACTTTCATACCCTACCCTTAATCTTGCTATTCTTCCATTTTACATAGTCTACCTCACTATCAGTCTACCAGTACTTCCAACACAAAGGTTTCATAGTTTCATACATTCCACATACTTCGACTTGTCAATTATTCTCAGAACATCCCCCTTATTATTTCCCGAAAGCTTATTTTCACAATTTTTCTTATACTCATTTCCATCTTTATCCATTCGTTTAATTGCCTCTGAAAGATTCCTCCCTTTCTTTATTGTATCTATTTTTATACCAATTTTTAAGGTAATCTTTCTCATTCCTTCCGTCTTATAACTCCCTCTTGTCATCATCATAAAGTCGTCAGTCCTAAAACTAGTTGGACACGCACCTCCAATCTTTTCTATCCTGAGCTAATCTTCGCATTTCTTCAAAACAAGAACAACCCACATCCTTAACAATTTGAGAACAATAATCTAATCCAGGTCTACCTCTACCCCCTCCCCTAACTCCTGCTTCTGCCTCTAATATGTCTCCGATTAGACCTTCATCCCTGAGAAGGTGTCCTACCAACCTATCTGGCCTATCTCTTATTGACTTCCATAGAGTCCTCTGTTCTCCTATTCTATCCACGGTATCCTCATCATCCTCCTGTAACACCACATTTAAAACGCCTCTAACCTTTTCTTTTCCGCAGCGCCCAACGTCCATGTTTCGCACCCGTACAGCGTCGCACTCCAAACATTTACTGTTATTCTCACCTATTACTAGGTCTAGATTACATTCATCAATGTGAACAAATCGATAATATGCTTGTTTATTTACGTTGCCGGTAGCAGGTGGAACACGGAAGGTCAAAAACTGGATCGCCAAAAATTTTTTGAAAGTAAATTACTTACTCAAATTATTTAAAAGACTATATTTTTTCTAGACCTCGATAAAAATTTTCAAGAACATGCGGACTCTACTTAAAATTACTTGTCGACCCCTGCTTTTTAGGTATGCATATAGGTACTTTTTTATGTTTTACGCAATGATGTTTCGAATCGCTACTAATAAATAATTGAAACAAATGCCTATACATATAATCCATTTTAAAACAAAGAAAGAATGCTTTGCTTCACCGGTTTTTAATACAATTAAAAAACTTCAGCAGCCAGTAAGTCTCAGAAATTCGTAAAGAACTGTATGATCCTTGATAATTACGTTAATTGATATTAACATCGCTGCTTACAACAAACAAATAAATATTTTTAACGTTTCAGTATATACAGTATTTTTGCTTAGTACTGTACGTTACTCTAATAAACTATGTTAAAGTTTAAATTTCAATATCATGCGAAAAAGAAGATAAAAGCTAGGAAATTGACCGCAGAAGGTCACGAACTGCAAGACGAGTAAAGACGAACGTGCAATAACAGTATCAGACAGCTGATAATAAACATGAACTCTTTGTGTTTAGTAATCAAAAGTGCAGTGTTTATGATAAGAGAACAACGCATCGTAGTAAAACAAAAGACGGTTTAGTGCATCTATCTATGCAATAATAATAAAAAAGCTTTTCGTGGTGAAGTAAAACTTTAAATTACGCGTTGTAAATTTGAAAGTTAATATTATATTATACATACTTATGTGCATTAAATGACGCTTGGGATTTTCGCAAAATGACAGAAAAATACTTCAACTGCCAGGTGTTAAAACGGTATGTTAATTGTTTAATTGTCTTAGTTCAATTTAAAATCTAATATCTAAGAAAAAAGCAAAACAAATTTGAAGCTTTCGCCTTCTAATCGTAAAACAAAACAAACGTGAATTTTGTTTTCAGGCAAGTAATAATTTTTAATTGTATATATATAATAAGCCCTATCCGCTCTGCTTAATTAACATATCTAAAAAAGCACAAAAAATATTTTTCAAAGAAAGTAGTTACTGATAAGTATTACCGTTAATACGTAAAGGCGAAACTAAAAGCTCATTTCTTTTCTTCTTACGTTATTACGATTAAATTCTACGTTGAATCCAAGAAATTAGTAATTGAATGATTTAAATTGTTAATATTTATTGTACTTATATCTAAACAGAAATCCTTCTTTTGTTATGATAACATCACAAAATGAGATAATTTGAACAAAGAAAATTATCATGTTTATTTATAATATAAATTACA